GAAGCGCAGAGCAAAAAGCAGTAAGTTCTTCTTGGCTATCAAAGGAGAAGTTGAAAAAGAACTTAGGGAAGTAAGATGAACAAAATGATGAACACATTTATCTGAGAGGAAGAATGGGCAAGTAGCATGCTTGGGTGTTTTTCTCCTTCTAGGTTTTCCTTGGCACACCTGGGGACATCAGTCACTGCCCTGTCCCGGTCACATTCAATGGTCAAACACCTAGACAATCTGATATCTAGAACCAACAAAAGGCCAGAATGAGGGTACATACTTTGTCCTTGCAAGCTGTGACCTGTCCCCACAACCCACCACCACCGTTTCTCCTGGATTCCAAGAGTCTCTGCTCTAGAACCCCACAGCTGTAGCGCCTGGGTTGGGAGAGTGGGGAGGCTGGGGGAACACGCCCTATACGTCAGCCAAGGTGCAGCAGCCTGCCCTCTCATCTCAGCCCTCTCAGGCTGTTTCCACAGAAAAAACCCATCCCTTCTCTTCCCCTTTTTCTGGGAGAGATTCTCGCAAGCGACTCTGCCCATGTTTGACATCTCTTCAGTCTCTTCCTCCACCCACACACCCAGCTTCCTTCCCGGATGCAATAACTCAGCCATTGGCCTTAAATAACCTGGCCTGTCCACTGCCCAAACTGTCTGAGCCGGTCTCTGATCATCACCACTTCTCCGGCTTCTATCTGCTTCCTCTCCTCCGTCCCCAGGGCCCAGCCAACACCACGCGGCATATCCCAACCCTGCCAAGGGAGCAAACGCTGGCAGAAGAAGCAATTAACACTGATATTTCTGCAAGCTAGAAATTCTCATAATTAGAACTTCTTTTGCAAGAACTCGGGAGTCCAACTAGCCCTAAGGGAGGAGGAGAGCTAGCATCTTATCAATAAATTGGATCAGGAGAAGTAGATAAACTCAGTAATATAGGCCTAAAACTTTACCCTACGGCCCAGTTACCAGGTATAAATATTTCTGTTGATTACAACAACATGATAAGCTTGCTATGTTCATTAAGAGTTCCTGGTGCATTCAGAAAGATTCTAAAAGCAGCAATAGTTAACAATCAACCGCGTAATCATAGTTCTAACATAATCACTTTCCTAAGCTTAATGAAAACCAAAATCAAACCTGTTGTCGTCAAGTCGATTCCGACTTATGGTGACCCCATGTGTTACAGAGTAGAACTGAGCTCCATAGGGTTTTCTTGGCTTTAATCTTTACAGAAGCAGATCGCCAGGCCTTTCTTCCATGGCATAGCTGGGTGGGTTCGGATCGCCAACCTCTAGATTAGCAACAGAGCAAACCACTTGCACCGCCCAGACACCTTAAGCTTAGCGAAAAACAACAAACAAACACATCCCTGTGGAGTTTCCAAGACCATAATCTTTACAGAGACTGACCGCCACATCTTTCTCCCACAGCGTGGCTGCTGGGTTTGAACCACCAACCTTTCAGTTAGCAGCCAAGCGTGTAACCACTGCACCACCAGAGCTCCTTAAGCTTAGCAGAGGCAGGTCTTAATATAGACAGCAGTCTTGTTAAAGGAAGAAACAATTATTTTGACAATGCAAAGCTCAACACAAGTGTAACATCTTAAATTAAAGACAACTAGTCAACATTAACTGATGGACAGTGGTCACCATGGTGATATTCACTAATATTAAATCTTAGAAGACCAACCAAGTTTGCAATATAATATCACTATCACAAGTTTAGAGATGACATCTTTATAAGCCTAGACAATGAGCCAACTGTCAGATCGAACATTATCCTGATCTCTATCCAAAAAAACAAGACGTGCTAACATTAGACACCATCTAGACTTCTGACATAACAATATGTTGAACTTTACTCACTCCAAAAAAGGACAGTTTTTGTAAATGTGACAGACCTGTTCATTTTGATAAATAGGAGCTGAAAAATTATCCACAGGAGAGAAAATATATTAACCTATTCCACAGAAGATGGCTCAGATACGTAGCTTTCTGCAGTTTCTGAAGGAGCCATATCACTACATGGAAAAAGTTTTTTATGCTAAAAAAAAGTCACTTTCTTTGATATTAGAAAACAGAAAATGGTCTGGATATTGGGTACAATCAATACCAAGAAACAATGACTAATTTATTTAGACTGAGAAGTTACAGTTACTCTGGACATGCACACACACACGCCTGCGTACACTTCACTGCCCCTAAGTACCAAAAGCACAAACCCATAAACCCAACCCATTGCTGTCGAGTAGATTCCGACTCATAGCAACCCTATGAAAGCACATGTTCTGACATTTAAATCCATGAAGAGTTGCCAAACAACTTCTCAGCGGTAGTTAGCTCTTGCACATTAAACATATTCCTCGTCGTTCTTCTACTACCTGAAGCAAATTGCCCCCTGAATTCCAAACCAGTGCTGCCTTTCTCCGTTTTTAAAAATTGCTGATAAATAAGTCCCTTAACACAAGAGCCTCTATTGCCCAAGAGATGGGCTGATTTGAGAGACAGGTCCCAGGACCTTGGTGAGGAACGCAGGCTCAGCTGCCTTCCCTAGAAGAAAACAGCTCTACAGGGCAGGTGGTCTCATTCCACATGCTTGAGAAGCTGTGTAACCATAACAGTGCTTTAGTAGACACGTCCCCAAAACGTTTAGCTCATGGGACCTACCCAGGCCTCTAATCAGAATCTCTCCTGCTTAGACAATTGGGTGAAAACATCGGAGAGTCATTAAAGAACACTGCTCTGTTGCAATTCCCAACAGAGTGTGCATAATAAAGGCAACAGCACATCACACATGGAGACCGTGTGGGCTCAGATCCAAAAGACAGTGACGATCAAAAAGTGAGTGAAGAAAGGACAAGGACACCAAGCTAATGCAAAAAAACGAAATGTTTCAACAGCAATGTTATTTAATGTAATTCAGGCCACTCAGGCAACCGGTCAAATTACTTCTGCAATTGTTTGCATTTGAGCGAAAACAAGGTTGCTTGGCTTAATGGTCAACGTAGAACTCATTTCACCAGATAATTAGCCTGACTCACTCTGCTGGTGGGAGCAGTTTACAGACAGATGGATGCACTGGGATTGTGTTTCCAGGCTGGGTCAACAGCCATGGAAATTAAAGGAAATCAGCTAAATTCTTGCCAAAAAAAAAAAACCCAAAAAATATCAGTGTGGCTCATCATGAGCATTGTCTCCATTCCTATTATTTTATCTGCAGCAATCTAGCTTTAAAACAACTAACGCTTACTCATGATACTCACCTTAACATCAGAATTGTTGTAAATGTAATAACAATCATGGTAGCTGCCCATGATGGAATGTCATCTCCCAGGCAGTATGCTATGGTCTTTCATTCATTCATTCACCCAACTTATATTTACTGAATGTCTACCGTATGACAGAAACAGTTCTAGGTGCCGCGGTACAATCTTCATTTAAAAAAGCCCCTGCTGTCATGGAACTTTCTCTCCAGTAAGGGGAGAAAGAAAACAGATGAATAAATTAGAATATAGCCAGAGGTGATCATGGCTATGAAGAATAAAGTTGGATAAAGGTGCCAGAGGGTGACAGCATGAGGCCCAGCTGAAGATCACCAGGAACACACCTGTGGTCAAACAAGTCAGATCTACTGACTCATTCCAACAAGGGTGAATGCATATCATATGGATCCATGAGGCACTTAAGTCAGAGGATGGTTAAAGGACTTGTTATAGGATTTGGGCTGTTAGGTGATTTGGGGGAGGGCATAAGATAGCAGGGTTTTGCTCTGGATTGGATACAGTCAGGAAGTGGGGGTATGCTGGTTATCTTAGTAATTCTTATTTAGAAGGTAAGAGGGATGAGGTGAGGCCATCATTCATTGTACCTAGAGGAAGGGGTTATGTAGCCATATTGTAGTGTGGACAATATTCTTCGTTTTGTGTTTGTCGGCACTCAGACATTATTACAGAGTGGGTGGTCTTGCTTTTGTCTTGAACCATCATGATCAGAAAGTGACCTTGTCTGATGCTGAATTCTGTGAAAATGTTTACGTTCAACAGGAGAGCCCCACGGCCAATCCAGCCCCCAGAGTTCAGGGGCTGCTTTTCTTTTTCTCACACGCAGTCCTCACTCAACCTTAGGAATCCCGTTGCTGTCAAGTCAATTCCAACTCATATTATTTCTCTTTTGTAAATAAGGAAACTAAGGCTCAGAAAGGTGAAGGACTTACCCTAGACTGAGCCAGGATTCAAAGCCAGATTATCTGCCTCCAGAGCCATGCTCTTACCCACTCCACACCCAGGCCCCTGCAGTGTGGCGCCTTCTGTCTTCCCTGGACAAAAAAACAGCCCAGAGGGGGCTTGTGGTTGGGGGGGGGTGTAAAGCCTGGAGGGGAAGCTGCTAACAGTAGACCCCACCCCACAGGTACCTGGGCCAGAGGATGTGCAAATGCCCAAGAAATTAAGTCCACGTGTTCACTGTCAAGGTGACAGTGTTTCTCACCCAGGAATGAGGAAGTATTTTCCATTTTACTAAAATTGGGGGGCCTATTTCTCAAGAATTTAATCAAAACCAATTTAGGTCAGTAATTTATGAGCTATAATCAAAATATTAAACACCAAAACAAGTATGTCAAAATAATCTAGAAGTACTGTTCCAGTGTGTAAGAGTAACAGAATATAAGGGAACTGGTATGTATTTTATCTCATATTTTATAAGCAGCCTCTCCCAGGGGTAGATGAGAACTCTCTGCACTTTCTGAGCAATTTTTATGTAAACCTAACATTGATCTGGAGCCCTGGTGGCACAGTGGTTAAGAGGCCGGCTGCTAACCAAAAGGTCGGCAGTTCAAATCCACCAGCCTCTCCTTGGAAACCCTACGGGACAGTTCTACTCTGTCCTATAGGGTCGCATAAGTCAGAATCGACTCAACAGCAACAGGCTTAACATTGCTCTGAAAAATAAAGTCTACTTTTAAAAAGGAAAAACAAAAAACACCCTCTCCCATAGCAGCAAAGCTGGGACTTACCAAAAGGTTTTCTGGCTTGAGGTCCCGATGGACGATGCCCTTGTCGTGCATGTGGACAAGCGCCTTACACAAGTCCATGATCATGAGCGCAGCTTCTCGCTCTGGAAACTTCACACTTTCTATGATTGCATCAAAAAGATCACCTCCTTGCACATACTCCATGATCAAGTAGATCTCCCTCGCCGTTTCGTATACTTCGTGCAGTTTCACTATGTTGGGATGAGAGAGGCTCTGGATGATAAAGATCTCGCTGTCAACCATGTCCTCCTTCCCCTTGAGTCTGGACTTGTCAATAATCTTCATCGCATAGGCCTGCCTGGTGTCCCGGTGCCTGCACTCCTTCACAAGGGCAAAATTCCCATCGCCAATGACCCGGCCAGTCTCATAATGCTTCTCCACGTCAGCTGTGATGATGCCCGTGGGCCGTGGCCTCCGGCCCAGTGGTCGTTCTGGTTTGTTTTCTTCCAGCCTTGTCTTGGGCTCCTTTTCTACCCTTGCAGGTTCATCATCTCTGAGAACCACTTTTCTTCCTCCTGGCACACACGACTTTTTCTCTTTCTCGGCCTCCGTCTCCTCACCTCGTGTCCTAGGCAGCTTCTCAAAGTCAGCCCGGTGCTCCCTCAGGAGCCAGCCACCATGCTTGTTCCTGCAAACATTCCTCGTGTCTTTCTTCACTTCCCTCAGCCCCTCGTCTACGACAGGTTGAGCTTCCACAAGTTCCTTCTTCGTCTTGACTGCTCCCAGAGGATGACTTTCTTGACCTTCTGGGTCTCTGTCCTCTTTCTTCTCTGTGTTCTTGCTGGGTCTCCTCAGGTCTTGAGCGAGATTCCTGGGACTGTTCCTGCGGCTTTCACTCTTCCACTCTTCCTCCCCCGCTGGGGGGTTCACCTCAGGAGACCTCCTGCAGCTTCTCGTCCTCGCCAGCTTCTCCACATCATACCTTGAGGACTTGCCCATGTCCAGCTCACTGGTCCCCATGGACAGCCTCTCCCTCTGCAGGGTCTGCTGGAGCTCTCTCTCTCTCTTGCACTTCTCACATCTGATAATTTCCCCGGAGGTTTTTTCTATCTCCACCCCCAGGTGCTTCTCTCCACTTGCATGCCTCTCCTCTAGAGTGGCTTCCCTGGGGAGCTTGCTGTTGGATTCAGGCTCCCACCTCCCCCTCACCCAATTCTTCTGTGCCCTTGCCCTGCCCTCTAGCACTGGCTCCACTGGGGGCTTCCCCAGATGCCTGACGGCCGCCTTGGACCCAGCAGCCTCACCAGAGTTCTTGGTAGTCTCAGTCTCCCCACAGTGGTGACCCTCTTTCAGAGTCTTGCTAGAAAGCCTGCTCCTCAGCCTTGGGGAGGGGGCCCGGCTATGCAGGGTCAGTGTCAGCGCCCGGGCTTTGTTGGGGTACAGTTCTTCTATAGCTATCTGAATGTTCTTCAAGGTCAGTGGTTCTTTTCCCATGGCTATGAAAGCATCCCCTTCCCTGAAGAAATCAGAGACGCTTTTGATTTCCCTGCCCTTGAGGTTAAATAGTTTCCTCACTCGGTCATTCTTCCATCTTGGAAAGCCCAAGGCTTCCGAGATGTCCGCTATGAGCTGCTCAAACGTCTGCACTGACCGCCTGTTGAGGAGCAGGGTGATCTTCCGGAGGGGATGCCCACCCAGCTTCACCACAGTCACGACCCTGGGCTTCTGCAGGCTGTTCTCAGCATGGACGGAGTGAAGGCCATTCTGAGGGCTGAACACAGGCACGATGGAGCCGTGCGGCCCCAGGAACGGTTTCTCCAGATTCCCTCGGCCAGCAGGCAGGCATGAGCCCTGCAGCTTCCGCTCGGTGATTCTTGAGCTTAAGTATTTTAGAGAATGGTCACATAGGCCTCGATGTCCTACAACAGGAAAAGGAAAACAGGGTATTAGTCAGGATGAGTTCAAACAGCCCTCTGGTCTTCACCAAGGCTTTTCTAAAGATGACTGATTCTACTATTTACAGCTTGTAAGTGTGATATTTGAGGGTCTTCTTGAAAAGATGGAGCCATTACACTTTAGGTCTAATTCCAGACTGCTCTGTGAGAGATCAGGAGTGCAGAATGGAGTCAGCATTGGGCCTGAGAGGACTTCTCTAGGCCTTCCAGAGGCCCCTGGACTGGCCTAGGCCTCAGAGCCCTCTCTAGGTGAGGACTGACCCTGCAAACACAACTCTGGCTACTCCTGAGCAAACCAACCTCCAAGGATCTACAGCTGAGGTAAAAGGCCCAAGGTTTGCTGCCCATAAAGAACCAACAAGAGACCAGAACATTCTGGAACCATAGGGGATCCCAATCTTACCCAACTCTGCCAAGAGCAGTTCTCAGCGTCACTTCCGACTCATTCAAGGTGAGGCAGTACATGAAGTGGTTATGATCACAGGGTTTGAGGCTGACCTGGATTTGAATCCTGACATGGCCACTTACCATTTATGTGAATTTGGGCAAATTACTTACATTTCAGTTTTTTCATCTATAAAATAGGAATGATAACACCTTCCTCCAGGGTTTGTGAGGAGTAAATGAGAAAATGATTACAATTCACTAAACAGAGGGCTTGAGGCACAGTAAGGACATAGTAATTGCCAGTGACTAATACTGTCCTTTCTATCTCAATACACTTACTCCTCACTTATTGGCTATCTCGTCATCCAACATTCTGCATTTATGACAATGGTAAAAAATCTGCTATCTGACTATTTTGTGCATTAACAATGTACGTCTGGCAGTAACAAACACTGAGGTGTGAGACAAGAGTAATGCTGGCTGTGATGGGTTAAGGTTATGTGTCAACTTGGCTGGGCCATGATTCTCAGTGGTTTGGCAGTTATGTAATGATGTAATTCAGCAGTTATGTAATGATGTAATTTGACAGTGACGTAATGATGTAGTCATCTTCCATTCTGTGATCTGATGTGGTCATTCTCCATTTTCACATAACGGCAATTTTCACATAATGACCTGGTCTTTGGAACCTACCTATGTCGATAAGTGAGGAGTGGGTGTAAATATTTTTGTATTATAATTTAATTTTAATAGTAATCTATTGATGAAGTAGAAGTCTACCATTCACAGCATCACCTGTCATCAGAAGAACTCACAGACCAACATTACATGGTGGCTATTCTTACAGCTCTGATTGAGATTTTCCTGTATTGGTGGCTGGAATAAGAAAGCTGAAGTAGGTTTCAGTTTAGGTATAGGAACGTTTTCCTTGTTAATAAAAGGAAAACAAGAAACCAAGGTCATATTAATGTTCAGAGCTTTAATAATGAGAATGTGCATGAATAGTACAAGACTTTGCATTTCCTAGACAACTGTACCCAGCCACAGTAAAGTAGTTGCATCAAAAATGGTTCAGTTTCCCCCATTTTTGTCCTGGTCAGGAAAGTTAAAAAGAAAATGATAGCATGTGTAATTCTTTTAAACATGAAGGTGGGCTGTAGGAATCTGCCATGAATGCTTCCTAAAAATTTTTAAAAATAATTATGTTAAATGTATTTGAATCAACTATAGTAGAAACTCCAGTTGTGCCAGGACGGGCAGTTTGGGCCAGCATATTACACAGAGTGGTTCTGGGTTTTTAATCATAAAGTACAATCTGCTCTGAATGATTTCCAGCTCAACACAGGTGTCAGCCTAGGTGACAAAGTAGCAGCTGGTACTCAGCTTCCCACATGCCATACATTTATGAGCTTCACAATCACGTTTACAGTTAAACTATTTCTTTGCAGAAAACTGATACCCATTTTTTCTCATAATCTCTCTAATCTCTCTGCTCCCATTTCTATCTGAGATAAACTGATGTTGAGAGAGAGAAAGAAAAGAGGAGATGAAGGAGAAGAGAGGAAGGGAGGGGAGGGGCCGAGGAGCCACGAGTCCACGGGCTGGACAGGTTGTTTGTATGGACATTGAGATTATCATCGATGATGGTAAGACTCAGGGCAGAGAGGAAGACGCTGGTAAAGTGAAGAAATGTCTAGGTAGTCACAAGATAACAGTGACAAAGGAAAGGGGTAAATTGTATTACTGGGTGATATAAGCCCCAACTAAGGAAGGGTTTTATAGGAAGGAAAAATAATAATAGCTCTGCAGCAGTCCAGGGAAGCTAAATTCTGATCCCTGCCTATAAGATCCACCATCCCTGGAAAAGAAGCATTCTCTATTCCAGGGAAGGGAGAGGAGAGGGACGCTCAGGGGAGAACCATGAGGACATGGGAGCATTCAGTGAATACATCAGGAATGCAGGACAGTTCACCATGGAAGGTGGTTCAGGAGGGCCCCAGAGAAACGTCCAGTGTGGATGTCAGGGAGCACTTGGGGAACAGGACAGACAATGGTGGGGCACACATGTTAAGTGGTGACCTAGGATGGCAGGGATGCAAGTCATGATGAGATCACTACACCTCAAGGTCCAGATACTGAAATTGTGGAGTCTGGGGGTGATGACAGACAATCTGGCCCAGTGGTACCCAAGTCAGGGCAGGAGGTGAAGGGTGTGCTCCCTGGGATGGCTGTGCTCAGCCAGTTTCAGCAGATGATATCTCATAACCTGCCTTGAACCCTGGTGGTCAGGGGAGAAAGCTGGGAGCACCCCATCCCTGAACCTCAGAAAGGCTCACTGTGATGGTTAAGGTTGTGTGTCAGCTTGGCTGGGCCGTGGTTCTCAGTGGTTTGGCAGTTATGTAACGATGTAGTTTGGCAGTTATGTAATTGTCTTAGTTATCTAGTGCTGTTATAACAGAAATACCGCAAGTGGATGGCTTCAATAAACAGAAATTTATTCTCTCACAATCTAGGAGGCTAGAAATCCAAATTCAGGTTGCCAGCTCCCGGGGAAGGCTTTCTTTCTCTGTCGGCTCTGGGGGAATCTCCTTGTCATCAATCTTCCCCTGGTCTAGGAGCTTCTCAGCACAGGGACCCCGGGTCCAAAGGACATGCTCCGCTCCTGGCTCTTCTCCCTTGCTGGTGATGAAGTCCCTCTCCTCTCTGCTTGCTTCTCTGTTTTATATCTCAAAAGAGATTGACTCAAGATACAACCTAATCCTGTAGATTGAGTCCTGCCTCATTAACATAAATGCCTCTAATCATGCCTCATTAACATCACAGAGATTAAGATTTACAACAAATAGGATAATCACATCAGATCACAAAATGGCGGACAACCACACAATACTGGGAATCACGGCCTAGCCAAGTTGACACACATTTTGGGGGGATATAATTAAATCCATAAAAGTAATGACGTAATTTGGCAGTTATGTAATGATGTAGTCATCCTCCACGATGGGGTGTGGCCTGCATCCAATGTATATATGAACATTCCGGCAAAGCTCGCTCGCTTGCTCTGGACCCTGCATCCGGCTTGTCATCATCTGACATCCAGTTCTTGGTACTTAAGCCAGCAGTCTACTGTACTGTGTACCAGTCTTGGGATTCATTAGCCTCCTCAGCCTATGAGCCAGCAGCTTGCCATCTTATGTGCTGATCTTGGGTTTGTCAGGCCCTGAGGTGACGTGAGTCAGGAGAAGCCTCCAGCCTGACCCACAGACTAAAACTTGCCAGCCTCTGCAACCTTGTGAGCCATATCCATATATTAGAGAGCTCAGCCTAAGGCACTCCACAAGGGTGGCGCCAGACCAGGGCAAAGACATTAAGTATGTGAAGTCAGAGCAACTCAGATCCACCACACCAACACCAAGCATGCTCAGCCCACTGCCCAGGCATTCAAGAGTTCATTGAAAACCTCCCCACCAAGAGTGAGAACTCAGTCCCCCACCTCCCCACCATAACTGAGAGTGACAGAGATGGTGCAGATGTATCCACATGTATCCAAGCTGCTGGGGAGAACCAAGAAGACACAACCACGGAATGCACATATTCTCATCTCCAAACCTCCACTTCCACACACCCTCCTGTAAAATTCTTAGTAGAGCGAATGTTTCTCTACTTCTTTAAAGGTAAAACGAAAAAATAAGGAGACCCTGAATGCTTGGTCCGTAGGCAGGAAGAGCAAACAACAGGGAGAGGAGGAACTCAGCCTTCAAGACCAGTCTCACCACCCAGTACCTCCAGGCTAACTGCCAGCAGCCTTGTCCCCATCCCTACCCCGATCGACTTGACCAGAAAGCCAAAGGCTAGCCCTCACCATCCACTCATCTCCAGCAACAACTTAATCTTTAAATTCGATTACATTGAACCATATGCAATTGCCCATAGTTCTACCAGCCTTGACCAACATGGAAAGTTCATGTGGCTCCACGTGATGGAATCTAACACATAACAGTGCCCAGTTAATGAAGGCACAGACAGTATAAAGAAACGTCCTCATTCCCGGTCTCCGACCACCACGCCAGCTGCTTCCCAGCAAGAGACGCAGGGAAAGGTGCTCCTGTAACCGCCTATTTTTTCCACTCACTTCCTACAGCGGCATCCACTGGCCTTGACTGATTTGACGATCCTGCCGCCTTTGCTTCATATGCCCTAAATACAGACGTGTATAGGGTTGCTCCCCAGCGCCAATCTACCCCACACATCCAGCAGAATCAGCAGGGCCGTTCTTGTGCTTGAAAACCTACAGTGGCTCCTTATCACCATCCTGGAGGCCCGAACGCAAACTCCTCACCTTGCTATGTAAGGCCCTCAGCTTGATGAGGAGTCCCTGGGTGGTACAAATGGTTAATGCACTCAGCTGCTAACCAAAAGGTTGGAGGTTCGAGTCCACCCAGAGGCACCCTGTAAGAAAGGCCTGGTGATCTATGTCTGAAAAAT